CCCCCCCCTCAGTCCTTCCCTTTCTCTATGGTGTTATAATGTTTGCAGCTGCCATATGACATTCGAGTTGTGACTTTGCTACATTTGAAATCTATATTGTGCTCACATTTGATTATTCGATGTTTGTATTTGACATTACTTCATGGCATTTGAAGTTGCAATGTGGCATATGAAGTAACAATAACAACGATAAAAACAAAGATAGTAGTGATGATACTGCATGTTGTTTTATAGCGATTTCTCTCGTATGCATTGTGCACACAGTTCAGGGCAGTTTACGTAAACCCAAGTTCAAAGAACAATAACTGTACACTAAAATGTGACGATTGAAGTAATATGTGGCAGTTGAAAATACTACTCAAGTAGGCCTACTTGATCGAAAAAAAAGACCTACTATAGTACTGCGCTACAATTTTTTTTTATCGTTCTGTAATATCACACACTTTAAGATCTTCACTGGCTCGATATGCTTCTTATTAAATTGATGTGAGCAAAAAGCATAGTCAAAACTATGTTAAAGCCAGTTCTATGTGTGGCATGACCTGACCATCAATGATTTAATTATAGAGGCACCAGCCATCCATGTCCAGGTGCTGTTTTAGCCTCTTTTTCCTGTATGCGGATTAATAATATCTTTTTGTCAATTTATTGGTTCCGCTTCTATGTACCTCATATCTATGGTTCTCAACCTGGAAATCGCCTATAATTCGCTGTAATTGCCCTCACCCCTTCCCTCTACCATTTCTCATCATTCCCCCAGTTAGTGTCATCCCCCCAGTTAGTGTCATCCCCCCAGTTAGCGAAGAAGCAAAAACAAGAAAAGACAAAAGGGCAAGGTTTTTTTTAGTAGAGGTTTTACGGCGTTCACAACTGCATAAGGTCATATGAGTGCCATAAGATTAGAGGTGTTACAAGAAAGTAACAAACATAAAAAAAGAAGAAGGGGAGATAAGGACGATAGATGTTTGACAGGAAAGAAGAAGCAAACCACACCAGAGCACCCATCAACCACCCACAGACAAAAGGTAAAGAAAACAAAACCATAACAAAACTTGTGGCAAATAAATAAGAATTTATTCATGAGATGAGCCATGGACAACATACCATCGTGTACACAAAATGGAAGACAGAGCAGCGCGCCTGCACCTCCAACCCCCGCGCCTGCACCTCTAACCCCCGCGCCTGCACCTCTAACCCCCGCGCCTGCACCTCTAACCCCCAAAGCAAACAACTGTACAAAAGCAGTCAACTAAAAACTTACAAAGACTTGTTGCTACATTTTGGAAAACAATCCAAAAAAGGTTTTCCCACATAGAATTTTGCTGCTGTTGATTCCTCAAACACAGCGTACAATTCTGCGACTCAGACCGCCGAGCCAAACACAAGACAGCTCCCACCACAAGAAAGGAGAGGTTGGGACACCTGGTGTCAAACTCCACACCAGAAAGAGCTCAGACGTAGTCACTTCCGCACTACTGTACCCCCGCTAGAGTGGATTTGATCAATAAATCCCATCAACAAAGCTCCGTCACTCTAGCATCCTAAAAAAACAAAATAGCAACTTACACACTGTTGTACACAACTCTCATATCCTACACAACACACTGTAAATGCAAACACGGGGGGGGGAATAACTGGCTCATTCTCAAAGGGACAGGCTCGTTTTTGTTTTACTGAGACCGACAGGAAGAGTTTTTGGTCACTGACACTGACTTCTGCCGTACAGTACATTTGTTGAATCAATATAATATATGGAAACTTGTTCTTGCCTGTCTTGTCATGAAAACCCTTTGCATCAAATTTAGTTTTAGTAAGAGTTTTACGGCACTGGCAACACAATAAGGTCATATAAGTGCCGAAGATTAGAGGTGTTACAAGAGAGAAACAAACACAAAAAAAGAGGAAGAGAGATTATAAGGATGATAGCTGTTTGATAGGAAAGAAGGAGCAAACCACACCACAGAACCCACCAACCATCCACAAAATACAGTTTGATGGAAGGAATGGTGAACAAAAAAGACAATAATATTTGACAGCCCAGACATCTTGATCTACCAGCACCTTTGCAGAATGAGCCAGTCACACGCACCCCACAACTGTTGGCTTTCATTCTTTGTTTCTCTCTCTCCCAGTATCATGGTTAATATACTGTTCCTCCTTCGCTCTTTGAGAAAGGTTTTACTCACCATCACTCACCCTCAGATACAACAAACTGCTATTACAAAAATGAACTTTCAAACAGAAACATTGCTTCAGAACACAATATTTGCATAAATTTACAAGAAGAAAAGATGAGAATATTCATGTTTCACCACGTCTGTGCACACGCTCTCCGTGCCGAACAGAAAAAAACCAAAACATGCAGAAGACAAGTGTTTATTGCTGCTTCTTTTCACAAAACAGAACTACTTCTGTGTTTTACGTCAAGCAAGCAAATCACTCATGAAGAAACTATAGAAACACAGGTTGATGCTTTGGGGTTATTGTTTTTTTAATAGTTTTTGTCACAGTTTTACGGCACATGCAGCACACTTAGGCCGTATAAGTACCAAATATTAGAGGTGTTCCGAGAGAACAATGTACAAAGAAAAGAAGGAGGGAGATAAAGATGAAAGATGTTTGGTAAGAACGGAGGAGCAGACCACATGTGGGTGATGCTGGTAAAAGTAAACATTCAGTTCTCTAAAGGAAAGTACCATGCGGCTGTCTAGCTAGGAAATGACCGTTCTAAGAAGCAAGAATTTAACCCCAATTATAACACATATCATGTACTTATTTCTATTCCTGCTATACATAGCACTATGATGATCTTTCAAACAAACTTGACCTACATCTATTTCTGACTCAGGTCAGGTTCATTTTTCTTCTTGAGAAAAGCTTATAGGTCAAGGTCATTGGTATCACTTGCATATATTACTTTTTATAATCATCTTCATCACTACTAAAGCAAACGTTGTCCTGTTATCTTTCAGAAGCTACACAGTTTTGTGTTAGGGAGCGATTCACGGGCAAACCTGGACTTTGACTGACACTATACTGATTTCTTCATGACCACCTCAGGAATCTGGACATCATTTCACCGCTAACAAAATATCAGAGGGACCCGTTCTGACGGCAGACTTTCCACACAAATACTAGCCCGAAGCCCGAAGTCCTGCTTATTCTATGGTCTTCTTAGTCTCCTGAGAAATCAATCTGAATACCAGCAGGTACTTGAACGAGCCAGTCAAGCTTGACGAGAGAAATACAGGGACACAAATCAAAGCATGGCCTTGTGTGGTGATAACGCAGAGAACTTCCCTGGCACAACAACACGTAAAAGATGAGTACTCTGGGAAGTACACCAACCTCTGTACTCAAAACATCAGCACAAATTCCTCACCACACCACACGCAATAAGAGGAGGAAGTTTTCTTGGAAAAACAAAACTCATTCTGCTTAACTGTGATCAGCAACGACAACTTTTCCTGCACACAAACAAAATTAGGCAAAAAAACCACCAAAAAACCTTCCCAGCACACAAGAGCTTTCTTTCTCACGTCGCATCGCATCGCATCGCAACAACTTCCTCACCACACATGAGAAACGAAAACTAATTGTGCTCGTCAAAAACAAGCGTAAGATCACAGATCACCGACACGGTGAAGTTGCCAGGTCAATGGCATGGAGACAATGTATATAAATGCTCTTGAGTCAAACTCAAAACGTGTTCCCCACACACACATGCATGTACAACAATGGAGAATGCCATAATGGCGTGCACACCTGACTACAGCGTGCGACAGCGGAGTCAGTTCCCCGCGGACTGTGTGAGGTTTGTCAACGACTCAACTTGTTCACAATGGGGAAAATGAAGCAAAAGTCAGCAATAATCATATGACTCAAGTCACTACAAACCCACACAGTAAACAAAAAACAACAATATACTCACTCACAATGCCCAGAGAAACAAATGCAGATCTATATATTCTATTCCAACCCATCAGTTAAAAAAACCCACAAAAAATAGTCAGGCTGAAAGGTAAAAACTCAAATGGCCGCTGAATTGGAAAAGTAAATGTAAAAAAATAGTTTGTCCGTCCACATCTCTTCATCACCAATGCATCTGCAGAGGAGAATTTTTCTTTAGTGAAAAAGAAGAAATTATGATCAAGATGGCTTGAGGCCTCTGCTATGGTGAATGAGACGAGATGACTTCTGGCAGTCAGAGAAGAGCTTGCTACAGTTTGAGCATTTCAAAAAAAGCTTCCTTTCACCATTTCACCAAACACACACACACGCACGACAAAAATGTGAGCATCAGCAGTAATCAAAATGTGCCAGCGAGAGCAGTGAGTCGGCCGCCGCAAACACTCGGCCGGCCGGGTATCTCCTACACACAGCTAGCACAACTTCTACACACACAGGTAACATACATACAGGTATCACAACTTCTACACACACAGGTAACATACATGCAGGTAGTGCAACTCCTACACACAGGTACCATACACATGCTTCATCTCTTGACTCTGAGCCACAGCTAACACACACGCTTCAGCAGTTGGGTATTCTTTGTACAAAATCTTCCTCTCTCACACCACTCACACTCACAAATACACTCACACTACTCACAACACTCACTCACACACACTAACACTACTCACATGCACATCCCAGTCCCCGCCATCATTCATAATTGTCATGTGTCAAAAGACAAAGTTCTTGGAATCAGCAAATCAGGTATCTTTCGGGCACAACAGTAGGTCCACACAAAATGTCGGAACCTGTAACCATGTTAGGAAGAAGAAAACTTGGACAAATCGATCACCAAAGTCCACAACACATTTGTCAGGCATCATGGGGAAATCAGGCGCTCGTTAAAAAAAACGAAATCCGAGAAATCGGCCTTTTTCGGCCAAATTGGACATTTTTTGTTGTTGGAATTTTTGTTTTTTGGCTCAACACCTTTATGTCCATTCCAAAACACGTTTAGGTGACAATTTTATCGAAAAAATGTTGATTAAAAGAACAACTTATAAAGTAATGAAAGTCACCAAACTTTGGCAGCCATTTTCTCGTTAATTTTACCCCTGAAATCAGGCAACCCAACCTCCTTCAATCTAAAATATCTCGGCCTCTATTCAAGATAAATGTTTGGGTTTTTTTCATCGAAAGCAAGGCAACAGATCAACCTTTAAGATGATACCAATATCTCTATATGGCCAAAAATTGACGGAGCGCCCGATTCAACTGTGCCGAGGCACATTTGATTTTTCATCCTTAATTTTAAACATAATGCCAAAGTCCAATGTTAAATGCCGGGGACAACATGTATCTCTGTCAAACTTCATCTTCCATAACCTCTCTCTGGCACACCCACACAACAACAGATGAGACAATGTCTCGTGTCCCCGAGCAGCCAACAGAAAAATCGGCACCACTGAGGTGTGCTACAAGGAAGCATGTGCATGAACACTCCTGGACAAACGTCTATAAATAGCAACAGCCTACGTACAGAAACACGACCCGCTCTTCTTGCTCAAGTTGGAACAAAAACTTTTTAGTCCTTACACTATACGTTCTGACTGATTCATTGATCAATTGATAGATTGATTGAGTAGATGTTTTACGGCACTGTCAACACAGTTTTGGTCATGTCAGCGCCAAGAACAGATGTTTTAGAATGCACTAAGAATCAAATTCTTATGTAATATTTTCTAAAATATTACTAAAATTTTGCTGCTTTTAAAATAGAAAACCCATGTACTTTTATGGATTTTAATGATCTTTAAAACCCTAACACCAATCAAAATCAAACACTCTGTGCCACGAAAGTTGTCAAAAATCTCGAATTACAACAAATTGTTCTGGGGAAAATTGCTCAAGATGAAGGGTATGAATCAGTACCTAGGCTACCGTCACCATCAGTCTTCCAAACACACACACACACACACACACACACTCACACACAGACACACAGTGGGGAAAAACAAGAAACATACCCTAGTGCTCTGGGCACAAAAGGACTAGTCGTATTGCAGAAACAGCCGCGAGGTTAGCATTGGCTTCATTCACAACTCTTGTCTGTACACAGCACATGGAATAAGGCAATGAGAGGAGCTCAGCACGCAAGGCTATTTACACACTCATCTTGGTAAAACCGGCTTTTGACCTTCCCACGCAGACAGACTGGCCCCGCCCAAAATATGGACGCTTTGACAGAAACGCTTTCGAGTCTTGGGGTGGGGGGGGGGCGGGGTATAAGCCGGTACACATGCAACCCACCACATCACCAGGATAAATTATGAAGCCTTCCAATTCTCTGCATTCTGAAGCACGGAGCATAGATTCTAGTATCCACCTGCAATGAGATTCTCGTGAGAAATACTTTTTTTTATCAGAGTACCGCTGTGGGTAGCCGAGAGAGAGAGAGCGAGAGACATCGGTTTTCACATCCATCAAATAAATGTGGCGAACGATTTCCTCCGAGTTCCTCCCCGCCGACTCAGTCCACCGGGGTTAGGGCGTGCACCACGAACTCATAGGTTGCCATGACGATGGCTGTGTTGGGAATCTGTCGGATGAGCTGGGTCCCAAGGCCGCGGTACACCCCGGCCCGCCCCTCCTCCTTCAACACCAGCAGGAGAGTCTGGAAAAACGAGTTGTAGCGAGATCCTTCCTCACGCAGGCGCGTACGGGCCACCTCTAGGAAATACAAGAAAACAAAAACACTCAGTTGTATATAAATATATATATAGATATATACACACACACACACACACACACATGACTCAATATAAGTCAAAACAAACACTCAGCTAT